CACCCTACACCCTAAACCCTAAACCCTAAACCCTAAACCCTAAACCCTAAACCCTAAACCCTAAACCCTACCCTAAACCCTAAACCCTAAACCCTAAACCCTAAACCCTAAACCCTAAACCCGCAATCCGTTGCGTTGAAGCATACTTACCTGGCGAGGGTGCATGGCCGATCACTAAGGGCCATCCCTCCTTCCGAGCGGGGCATTGCACTCAGCTGCCGTGACGTTGGATGACAAGTTATCCAAATGGGTGCTTGCCAATCGCATCATTTCTGTAAGCGTGGGATTTGGACAAAATGTGAGTTGAATACTTGAACAGCATGGATCCAGCACGACAGGCTGAAACCGTCAGTGGATCGAGACCCAAACTCTGTGTTTTCCTGTGTATTCCTCACGAGGGGAATTTCTTTTTAGTGGAATGATCCCCGAAATAGCCCAATATCCTAAAGTCTACCTAATGACTTATATCCTAAAGTCTACCTAATGACTTATGTTCTATCGTTCGGAGTTCCCCTCCCAGAGTCGGAGTCGGAGTTCCCATCCTACCCACACTACCCACACAAACCACCTCCCAAGAACAACAAAACACAAGTTGATAAAAATGGCTCCAATGCCCTCTACCGTCATTTCCGGACCCCGGTCCTATCGGTACGGTGCCAGGAGCATGATCTGTATCTCTGACATCCAGTTCAGCTGTGCCCGGTTAGCCCAGTCGGCAGAGCGCAAGGTTCTTAACCTTGTGGTCGTGGGTTCGAGCCCCACATCGGGTGAAACAAGACATCAGCAGTTCAAAAAAATGAGTGGGTGGAGGGACTTTTTTGCGTTGGGTGTATAAACCTTACGTCCCCAAATACAATATAGTGTTGGGAACTCCGAACTTCTGATACAAATAATCAAACTCGGGACTTTGAAACTCCAATTCGATATGTAAAAAGCCACTAGTTTTAAAATTTGTACGACAGTTCGGAGTTCCCAATTTGTATTTGGGGACCCGAAGAACGTTCTTTCCACAGGGATGCCGTGAAGGACGCTCTTTACAGAGGGGTGTCAACTGCTGTACAGAGGGGTCCCACCTGCTCGCTCTGCACCGAAGGGCCCAACCACCGAGGCTCATCACCTGTCCGACCGAGGCTCACAGGGCCTGAATGTGATCCGAAAGGAAGCATGGCGTTTCTGCAGAACCAGCCGCCTATGTTGGGAGCTCGAAGAACCTAAAGGACCTAAAGGGCTCGCCACCAGGATCGTACAGGGGTACCTCGCTCATAAGAAAGCGCCTCCTCCTAGGACCCTACGGTAGGCCTATGCCTAGGGCCCTATGCTGGTCCTAGGGGGGGGGGCAGTTTCTTATGAGCGAGGTACCCCTGGACGGTAGGACATTAGGGCGGTGCGTGTCCTTAATTTCGAGTAACCCCTGTGCCGTAAAGCATCCAAATAAATCTGTGTCGAGAGCAGGCGGGCATTTGACGTGCCTTCTCTTGCATGTCAACTTGAGAATAGCCGGTCAACCCGAGTGAGGCAGCGCTGGGGTCGATCCCACGACAAAGGCGTTGGAAAATGCAGAGCAGCAACCCCCACGGGGGGTTATGTACTGTGGTCATTGGTTTCAATAAACCGTTCTCTCTCACTTGGGAGCGCGCGTAGCAAACTGGACAGGTGGAGTTGTTGTGTAGCCACGCTGGTATGTACAGGGAGGTACCCCTGTACATACCAGCGTGGCCACACAAAACGCCCCCCTCCTACCGAAACACCATACTCTGCTGTTTTCTTATTTGGTCCCTCCTGAGATAAAGGCCGCAAAATGGATATGGAGGGGAGCCAGCCCAGTGAGGTTCTTGGCCGTCACGTCCGCACCCCTCTCCAGAAGGAGCCTGACCACCAGGTCGTCTCCTTGTCCAGCAGCGTCCAGCAGCGGCGTGTCTCCGGCGTCATTCATTGCTGAGACATCCGCCACCTTGTCCAGCAGCACCCTCGCGACCGTCTCGTCTCTCCTGTGGGATGTGACATGGAGTGGCGTGACTCCTTTGACTTCTGCATCAGCCGACACGCCCGCCCCGTGCTCCTGTCAGGAGGGTTTAGGGTTTAGGGTTCAGGGTTTATGGTTTCGGGGTGAGGGGTTAGGGTTTAGGGTTTAGGGTTTAGGGGTTAGAGGTTAGGGGTTAGGGGTTAGGGTTGAGGGTAGGTGTCTGGGCAGGTGACTGTCTAGCGCATGTTCTGCTGGCCTTCACCTGCCACTTGAGGTTTAGAACCTCACCCTGAGGGTGAGGGGGTACTTTACCAGCAGCAGCCGAACCACCCCGTCGTTGCCTGCTGCCACTGCGGCAAACAGAGGCGTCTGCCCACCGCTCTTCTTGCTGACGTCCGCCCCGCTCTCGAGCAGCAGCCGCACCACATCCACGCGATCCACGTTTGCAGCAACAAACAGCGGTGACGGGTCCACTGCTCCACACTCCTCGATGTCGGCGCCGTCCTCCAGAAGCTTCCGCACCTCCCCCAGATTTCCTTCCATCGCTGCGATCCACAGCGCGGGCGGCACAGGCGTCGCTGCGGCCATGTCTCGGTGACCTGAACCGAGTTTGATGGTCTTTGGTGCTTTGGTGCTTTTATTTACACTCACATCGAAGGTCACGCCCACCTCACTCTTGAGGAGTTGGGAGTTAACTACGGATGAGCTCCTCGACCCCACCCATTCGGGCCCGGCCGAGCCCCTTTTCTTGCACCCTTTTCCTTAAAAAAAAAAACCGGTACGTGCGTGCTGTTCTATTGGAGGCGTTGGTCTCGGGGACCTTGCTGGCTTGCATGACGTTGCAGCAGAGACCGTTGCTTTTTTTGAGCTTATGCGGTTTGTATTGAGTCAAAAGGCTTGACAATCTGGACCTTCCCGATAGCGCCGAGGCGCTCGGGGGCATTCCCAGGTGGCTGAGCAATCTGGGCCTTCCCGAAGGTGCCGAAACACTCGGGGGCATTCCCAGGTGGGCTGAGAAAGGTGTGGTGGTGTTCAGGTCGATTGGGATAATTTTTGGGATTTGCTTAAGTCACTTTCAGGGTCTAAGTTGACGGTGTTTGTAAAGCTACCCTGGAGTGTGGTTTGGGAGGGGGCTTGAGAGCCTGTTGGGGGAGGCTTGCGGGGAATTTTTTGCAGTTGGTGTCTCCCGGGGAGGGAAGTTGTTTGGGATGGCTGGCGACCAGGAGTTGGGAGGCGAGGGGGGGGGG